GGCCATTTTTAACAACCACCAAGGAACTCATGTCTGAAGAAATCTCTCTCGTCTGGGTTGGTGTAGTTTGTGGCATTTGAAGCTGAGACTGGAGAAAAGTCAACAGTGAGCGCGCCTCAGCAGGGGTGGGCATGTTTTCTTTGTCCTCAAGTGGTTGTGTCTCTGGAGATTCAGGAATTGTTACAGGCATTTGTGAGGTCAATGAAGCAGAGGACTTATGTTTGAGAGCAATCAGATTTGCTCTCTTTCCACCGTTCACATATATTTAGTGCCTTAGCAGAAACACATATCAAACACATATCAACAAGTTTCAGTGAATGGCACAGCGTCCACGTGACTGACCCAGTCAAGAACACAGAGGCTCTGTGTGCTTGGCTGTTGAGGGTATCCCAGTCAAATCACTTGTTTTAGACACCAAAACCTGCAATACCGTAACTCTATAATCCCAAACTGCTATTCCAATGCCCCTCACACAGAACTACTTGAGAGCTGTATGAGTACAGGAATTCTCAAACAGGAAGATGCTTGGTACGCTGTTTCTCAAGACAGTCGAAAATCTCTTTCAAGTAGGAAGCCACCCCACAATAATTATGGAACACAACAAACTTGCCCCTGTGTCCTCATTAATAATTTAACTTTAACCAAACTTCACTATATAGTGACTTCGCTAACTCTAGCACCAACGGGGTTTGTTCCCGGCTTCAGGCTTGATTTTATAAAACCTGGAATTAAATAGTATCAAATGTCTCATTAAATTTGGAAGACAACCTTTCAGTGGTTATCCATTCATGTGATGGATTTTACATGTTTTATGAAGCCAAACGGTCTAAGACTAGGACACTCATGAACTCTCCCTCACGTGAGGCTATGTGGTTGAGACTTTACATGTAATCAGGCTTCAGACACAGATAACATGCTTTTACTTCTCTTTTAAAACAATTTACCAATTGGAGAAGATCCTCAATCAGACAATTCAGCGTTTTAGAGTGCCCAATGTGCAGAATTTCTGTATATTATAGAAAAGGTATTCTGCTTACCTGTTTTTATGAATGCCGGCTGGCAAATTGTCTGAAGAAGTACTTCCGCAGATCGCGCATCCTCAGGTCTCTGCTGATCTCACGCGGCCCCCTGTCGGACACTAGCTTGAAGTCGTTCCATCCGGGTCATGGCACCATTTGTTAGAAATTAACCTGATTCTTTTGTTGGAAGCACAAGAAGTGAAGACAGGAGAGGACTGTTTAAAATCAACAGAAAGTTTACTGAATGTCTGATCACAGGTAGGCCTTACAGCGCTGGGATCAGAGAGATAGAGCTCCCGCAGGAGTTCCATCCACTGACCTGGTTGGGAGACGACTGCTCTACCCACCACACCACTGTCGCCTCCGAAAAATGTATCTATGAAGCCAAATGAATCAGATCCGTTGGTCATACTTCAAGCATGTCTTAAAGACATAAAGGCCTGGATGACCTGTAACTTCTTACTTCTAAACTCTTACAAAAATGAAGTCATTGTGTTGGACCTGAAAACCTTAGAAATCTGCTGTCTTATCATATAGTTACTTTAGATGGCATAGGTCTGGCCTCCAGTCCTACTGTGAGGAACCTTAGAGTCATTTTTGATTAGGATATGTCTTTTAAATCACACATAAACCTACTTGTGGTTCCTAGTAAAATCCAGAATAGAATTTAAAATTCTTCTCTTAACAAACAAAGCCCTTAATGACAAGGCTCCATCATATCTTAAAGACCTCATAGAGCCTTATCATTCCAACAGAGCGCTTCGCTCTCAGAGTGCAGGTTTACTTGTGGTTCCTAGAGTCCACAGAAGTAGAATGGGAGGCAGAGCCTTTAGCTATCAAGCTCCTCTCCTATGGAACCAACTCCCAGTCTCAGTTCGGGAGGCGGACACTCTCTCTACCTTTAAGATTAGACTTAAGACGTTCCTTTTTGATAAAGCTTATAGTTAGGGCTGGATCAGGTGACCCTGAGCCTTCCCTTAGTTATGCTGCTATAGGCCTAGGCTGCTGGGGGGGCATGATGATCTGAGTTTCCCTCCTCTCCTCCCCTCTCCTCTCCTCTCCTCTCTCTCTATGCTTCTACTGTATATGCCACCATTACACATCACTAACTTTGTGTCTCCTCTCTCCTGTAGTGTGTCCTCTCTCTCTCCTGTAGTGTGTCCTCTCTCTCTCCCCCTATACCTTTCTGCAGGTAGCCCTGGCTCTGGAGCTCTATGTTTCTGATAAGCAGCCACCGGCCACATCAACCTGACCAGTATTTGATTGTTTGTTGTTGTGCTTGTTGCCTTTCTTTTATTTTCTCTCTCCTCTATCCACTCACCCCAACCAGTCAAGACAGAAGGCCGCCCACCAAGGACCGGGGTTTGTCGGAGGTCTAGACCTTACTGTGTAAAGTGTCCTGAGATGACAGGACGTATAGATGCGCTATATAAATAAATTTGAACTTGAACTGTGTTTGAATACATAGTGACATCATGTTGGTGGAAACTGACAAGAATGTGACATAAGTGTACGGCAGTTACACATAATTAGAAACACCACCCATCATTGGTTCATTTTATTATTTTTATTGAAAGCAGTTGTTACAACGGCTATAGGACCACATCAAATTTTAGGTTTATGTAGACTGCATGAGATAAAAATAACCTCCCCACCCCCCGTGTGTGCTTGTCCAGTGGGATCTGGTGTGTGGTCAGTATTGGATGGTCCCAGTGGAAGAGGTGTGTTTCATCTTGGGCATCCTGACTGGCTGCTTGGGCCTGGGCTATGCTGGGTAATGCACGCGCACGCTCACACACACACACACACACACACACACACACACACACACACACACACCTTTTGTGTTTTTGATCAAACATTTTTTTATTGTCAATTCACTGTATGTGCAGGACATACAGAAAAATACTGTTTCTCTCTCTCTAATACTGAATGCCCATACCATTTAACCCTTGTGCTCTGTTCGGGTCTGTGGGACCCGGAGTCACTTGTCACCTTAAATAAGAGCACAAGGGTTAAGAAACATAATAAATTTAGGAAACTAAAATAGAATAAAAGTAGAATAAACACAGAATAAATGGAATATGAAAACTGAATTAAAGTAATTAGGATAAACTAAATGGTACAGCCTAATGGGCTATGATGAAACTCAAAGCCATGTGCAAACAGTGACAGTAGTGTAAATAATAACAAGAAGATGGTCAGGTGGTTAGCATCACCAGGGGCGTTGGTGATGTACAGACACATTTAAACCAGTCCATAATGCTACATCCTAAGATGTTTTATAAATCGGTTCTGTACCAGAAACAAATTCCTTGTGTGTGACATACTTGGCCAATAAAGGTGATTATCCTTATCCTTATCCTTAAATAGGTTTCTGTACACTACACAGGATTAGTGCCTCTGTGCTGTCTCGCATTCCAATAGAAGAGGGAACTATTGGAATATATATACAGTGGTGTGAAAAAGTATTTGCCCCCTTACTGATTTCTTATCTTTTTGCATGTTTGTCACACTGTAATGTTTCAGATCATCAAACAAATTTAAATATTAGTCAAAGATAACACAAGTAAACACATCATGCAGTTTTTAAATGAAGGTTTTTATTATTAAGGGAAAACAAAATCCAAAACTACAAAACCCTGTGTGAATAAGTGTTTGCCCCCTAAACCTAATAACTGGTTGGGCCACCCTTAGCAGCAACAACTGCAATCAAGCGTTTTCGATAACTTGCCATGAGTCTGCCACAGCGCTGTGGAGGAATTTTGGCCCACTCATCTTGGCAGAATTGTTGTAAGTCAGCCACATTGGAAGGTTTTCGGGCATGAACTGCCTTTTTAAGGTCATGCCACAGCATCTCAATTGGATTCAGGTCAGGACTTTGACTAGGCCACTCCAAAGTCTTCATGTTGTTTTTCTTCAGCCATTCAGAAGTGGACTTGCTGGTGTGCTTTGGATCATTGTCCTGCTGCAGAACCCAAGTTCGCTTCAGCTTGAGGTCACAAACGGATGGCCGGACATTCTCCTTCAGGATATTTTGGTACACAGCAGAATTCATGGTTCCACTTATCACAGCATGTCTTCCAGGGCCTGAAGCAGCAAAACAGCCCCAGACCATCACACTACCACCACCATATTTTACTGTTGGTATGATGTTCTTTTTCTGAAATGCGGTGTTACATATACGCCACACATAATGGGACACACACCTTCCAAAAAGTTCAACTTTTGTCTCGTCTGTCCACAGAGTATTATCCCAAAAGTCTTGGGGATCATCAAGATGTTTTCTGGCAAAACTGAGACGGCCCTTTATGTTCTTTTGGCTCAGCAGTGGTTTTCGTCTTGGAACTCTGCCATGCAAACCATTTTTGCCCAGTCTCTTTCTTATGGTGGAGTCATGAACACTCACCTTAACTGAGGCAAGTGAGGCCTGCAGTTCTTTGGATGTTGTTGTGGGGTCTTTTGTGACCTCTTGGATGAGTTGTCGCTGCGCTCTTGGGGTAATTTTGGTCGGCCGGCCACTCCTGGGAAGGTTCTCCACTGTTCCATGTTTTCGCCATTTGTGGATAATGGCTCTCACTGTGGTTCGCTGCAGTCCCAAAGCTTTAGAAATGGCTTTATAACCTTTTCCAAACTGATAGAGCTCAATTATTCTCTTTCTCATTTGGTTTTGAATTTCTTTGGATCTCGGCATGATGTCTAGCTTTTGAGGATCTTTTGGTCTACTTCACTTTGTCAGGCAGGTCCTATTTAAGTGATTTCTTGATTGCGAACAGGTGTGGCAGTAATCAGGCCTGGGTGTGGCTAGAGAAATTGAACTCAGGTGCGATAAACCAGTGTTTTGACAGGGGGGCAAACACTTGTTCACACAGGGCTATATAGTTTTGGATTTTGTTTTCCCTTAATAATAAAAACCTTCATTTAAAAACTGCATGATGTGTTTACTTGTGTTATCGTTGACTAATATTTAAATTTGTTTGATGATCTGAAACATTACAGTGTGACAAACATGCAAAAAGATAAGAAATCAGTAAGGGGGCAAACACTTTGTCACACCACTGTATTTGGAGCATGTCTGTGGCTCATAAACCACCTGAGGTTTGACCAAGTCAGTTCTGTGACAGCCCGAGGGGCATGGGGTGGGGATCCATAGATTGTGGAGCTTGAACCATAACACAGACCGAGTTGGTCGGTAGCTCGACCTCTGTTACAGAGATTTCAACCTTTTTAAATGTTTTTCCTCAGAGAAGTGTGTTCCTTTAATAGAAAAGGGTCCTTTTAAGGCCACAGTAAACTTGACACAAATTAGCTCGTAGAACAGAAACATCTTTGCTCAAAATAATAGGTTCTCTATTTGTACAAGGGAAGCTGGTTAGAAAATATACAAACATATCATTTAACATATCATCTGGTGTAACAGATCATAGCTGATCTCTGATCTGTACAGATCCCCCTCATGGTCCACCACACATGTAAACCACGCATTAATTGCCAATAAGACACTACCTCGTTGTGCCTGGCACTTCCGTTTCTAACAAGAGCAAGATGTTGTTGTGCACAGCAGGGAACTTTGGCTTTTCCCTCATCGGGAACCTAAAGAGAATTTGACAGTCTGATACCGTGGTTGTACTTTGTTTTTCCATGTCTATAGCTCTCTCTCTCTCTCACTCAAACACACAATCAGGTGAATGGAGAGCCTCAAGTCAGCATTCACGGTGCTCTGTAATCATGGTGGAACCTAATCAATCAGTCAGGGAGAGTGCAGGAGCAGCTTTGGAAACAGCCGTTGAACAGGCAGAACACAAACTGTAGAAATGTGACATCTCTGCTGCTTGGCTCATAGTGAACCAGCCTTAGTCCTCATTTCACCTCTAAACCAGCAGGAGTGGAATCCCTGACTGCAAAGAGGTCAATCCTCTGCCCAGACAATGTAGACATCCTCACATTTATATGTTTTATTTTAGGATTTTACTGAAACACCAGACATCTTCAATATTGTTTTCACCTAAGGCCAAGGACAATGTCTTCAAGTTCTTTAAAGAGCCCAGGGGGCCTTTCCTTGCTTTCTGATTTATCTGCAATGTGAAAATGGTGAATTATCATCTTAGACATGACCCAAAGCTCAAAAAGTTAGGTGTACGCATGTTCTAGAATGTCTATGCAGAACCAATGTGGTTTATACCAGTCTCCCAAGCTCTCGCTCGTGAGACTTTTTTTCTAACAAAATTAAGAATTACATGACAATTTAAGGATTTCCTTGAATGGTCATAATATTCAGGGACTCACCGTTTTACCTGATCGGGTCTAACCTGCAAGCAGCCGGCTAGTGAAGTCCCTGCGGCTATGAATGGTCAGCTCATCAACATTGAATTTCCCCCGGAGCACTGTACCTGTTTGTTTTGGTTGCTTGAGGCCCGTGT